AGAGAGAGAGAGAGAGAGAGAGAGAGAGAGAGAGAGAGAGAGAGAGAGTTTACATCGATCAACACGATAACGAGAAATTAGAGACATTTAATTTGCCCACTGTCCTACCTAGGCAGTATCGCCTTCTTGTACGATTGGGTAATTTTGGTCGGCGGTGGGGATCGCTCGGGTAATGCAAGGTGTTATTTAATGCCCCACTTGGAAATAAATACATGTGCACAATATGCATGTAGGTGGGCGGTAGAAAAAATCAAAGGAAGCAAAAATGGGAGATGGCTTTGAAAAGACTGACAAAACTGAGATAGTCAATTGCACGTCCTCTTGTAGGAACCACATCTGGATCTAAGATACAAATCGAACACCAATCATTTTTACCATTTTCCTCCACACGGTATGAAAACCTGTCTAAATACATTTTAAACTTCTTCTCCCAGTGCACTTGATTTTTACGAAAAATGGTCCCTGCATCTACAAAGAACGTTGGATTGCCCCTTGACTGACACTGGAAAAGCCTAGAACCGCTTTCAAAGGTACCTGTAATATTTACATTACTAGATAAAAAGGCTTCAGGTTTGGGTAGGAATTAGGAAATAATTTTGAATTTACCCAAACGGCGGCTCGAAGATGCCTACTCTTTTTTATGTTAAAATTGCCTTTGGAATCTTTACGTGCAAAATTTCCACATGGGACCTCCGAAATTTTTCGTAATTATCTAGGTGCTCAATCCTAATTACCATACTAAGAGGGGTAGAATAAGAAGAATTTGGCCCTTGCCATGAATTATATAATTATAGAGACACCGGCCTTCCACGTCAAAGCGCAATTTTAGCCTCTTTCTCTTCTGTTTGTCTAACTCAATGGTGGGGATCGAAATCCGAATCTCCATGTTGAAAGGCAAACACCACACCTGTTGAGTTAGAATGAGCGCCCGATGGGACAAATTGATACAGACAGACATACCTCATGATTGTTTCAAACCTTAATTATGATAATCTACTTCCCTTGCTTATAAGTTGCAAAGAAAGTAGGCCTGCATGTACAATATTTTGGGCCTTTTGGTGTTATTGGTATTACCTTACAGCATGTTTATTAGTCTTGCTTTTGATGAAAAAGAAACACCCATCCATCTTGAATAAAGTCGAAATATTCGTGATTAAAGGACGTGAGAGTCGGCTGCTTCCAAAGGTAAATTTAGCAAGAAAATGGCCGCAAATGGTTTGCGACTTCCAAAGCTTGATAGTCCTTGAAAACTGCATAACCACATTTTACGTACATTTAATCAACGTTTCTCAGGGGAAAAAATCAAAACAGAAATGTGTTGTAAATTGATACAAAAGGTGGCCAAAAACCAAAATTTAAAAAGTGATAAAAATTGCCAGACCAGTGGAAATTGATGGTTTCTTCCGATTTCATTATTTTGACGAGCGCCTGATTTCACCACACTGATTCACATGTCTTTTCTAATAGCTGTTTTTGTTTCGGTAAGTGTTTTACCGCGTTTGCCACTGCAAAGGTCATATGTGCGCGCGGGACACAGTAAACATTTTCAGTTTGATAGGAATTAATTTTGATTTTTGCCCTGGTGGTGGCAGAAGCCCACTCTTATCAATTTTATGACCATCAAGGGTTCTTTAATGTGCGCAACTTGCACACGGGACCTCCTAGTTATATCTTACCTACCCTAAGATCATGGGTATGGTTTAAAGACAGCAGTAAAAAGAAGCCAAGGAGCAGCAGTGGAAAGGCTGCATAAAGAGTCGGGAGACAAGAGGAAGAGGAACAAAAAAGGGGGGGCTGAAAGTGGAGACGAAACCAAACGGCAGAACATCGTTG